CCTCCACTGAGGCTCAAACTCGCAAGCTCCCATATGGGAGTCCAACCCGGGTGCCATTAAATTACTGTGTATTGTAGAATGACTGTTGCCCAATGAGTTTCAACTTTCAACATAAGAATAGATTATAATTTGAAATTCCTATTTTACCCCTCTATTATTAAATTGTTTTTAAATTTTCCGTTAGCTGCAGACAGAATATTAATGCTAGGGACCAAACTTGCCACTTTGCTCATAACTGTGGGACTAAACTCGGATACTGTTATAACTTAGGGACTAGGTCAAAACTTGATTATAACTCAGGGACTAAAGATGCAATTTTTTCTATTTTTATAGACCCATAAAAATATCCCTGCTTCGTCCCGTTTTATGTGTCTGGTTTAATTAACGAGACTTGACTAAAGTTATTTTTAATTCAACTTTTCATAATATTAAGTTTAGCATTAGTTTATGAAATTTATATATTCAGAAACTACATTAAAATGACTATTAAAAAAATAAAAATAATTAAAAAAATACTAAAGAAAATAAACAAAAAAAATTTAATTAATTTGACCTAAACAAAAGATATAAAATGAGAAAAATAGGATATCATATTTTAACTAAAAAAGTATTACACGTGTCACATAACACCGTTTCAAACAAGAACTATTCCAACATTTGTGGTCCTAAAACTTAAAACATTAGAATTTAACTTGATAAAATTGTTCAAACAAGAGGTTTGAATACCAACTCAATGAGATAAGTGTGTATGGACTGTTTAACCTAATTAGCAGACTTTAAACTAAATGAGATAAAGGAACCAATTCTTCTTCCACGTGAAGTGTCTAATTGTTCACGCGATTGACATGTTCTAGGTAACACTCAATTAGTCATGACAGAGAGATTCAAAACTCTTTCAAAGAGAGAAGAAGTAAAATACACCCCAAAAAAATTCTTTTAAAGTCAATCTATAAATTTATTATAAACTAAAATGATATCATTCGTCCATTTGGGGTTATTAATAGAATAAGCCCGTTCCGTCCCGTCCAACGCAAAACGTGGGGCAGGCTTTGATATTTTAAGCCTGTATTTTTACGAGTTTTTTAGCATGTCCCACCTAACCTGCGGACTTTGAAACCATAAGTTTACTGCATGGTAAATCTTAAATCTAGTACATAATAAGTTTACTTTAAAAAAATTCACAAGACTTGTGGTTCTATTACCAAGAAAAAAAATGAGGATTTTGGGTGGTTAATAACGTCGTTTTAATGTTATTTAAACATATTTGTTGACAGATGACAAAATGATCATGGCACAATAATGTTTTAGGACAAACAGGGATGTTTTGAAAAAAAAAATAAATAAATAAAAATGGAATGACACATATAAATCTACTAGAACCTAAAAAAAAAAAAAAAAAAAAGGAAAAGATCATAACTTAATACTTACAACTGAATAGACCAAAATGTCTTTGTATTTAACGTCATTTAAATGATTTTGTTGATGAATGACCAAACATGGTCATGTCACAATAATATTAAGATCAAAGGGAATGTTTTGAAAAAAAAATTAATTAAAAGTGAACTGATACTTATAAATCTAAAACAAAAAATAAAATTAGCATATTAATAAATTCACTACGAAGATCAGAGTAGGGACCAAACATGCCCTACCTCTATAATTAAGCACAAGAAAAAGTATAGCAACGGGGCATGGATACTACTCCAATCCCCCTCTATGTATGAAGTGTGAGAGATAGGGACATATCCATTTTGTATATAAATAAAAAAATCAAGAATAAAATGAATCATTTTTAATACTATTGATTAGTCATTATCGATATCGTTAAGGTATGTTTAGTATAACTCCTATAAATAAATATATATACACCTTAATTAGCTTAAGAGTATGGACCAAACATACCCTACCTATATTATTAAGCGCACAAAAAAAATTATTTCAAGAGGGGAAGGGGGCATCGATACTACTCCGGCTCCTCTGTATATGAAGTATACTACTTTGTTCTGTAATTTACCCCTTTCACAAGTCTTTAAGGAAGCGTGCTATAAAGAATTTTTAAATTTAAGATTATTAAAACTTTTCCTTTTAACTCATGTTATGTTTTTAGTTCATTTAACGTGTCTTGATTAATTTGAATTCAATTTTTCATAAGATTAATTTAGTATTAATATACAAAAAAAATTATATATTTAGAAACTACTTTAAAAGTACTCTTAAACACAAAATAATAATAATAATAATAATAATAATAATAATAATAATAATGATAATAAAAATACAAAAAAAAAAAAAACAAAGAAAAAAGAGTTGGCTTAACCAATGAATAGTAAAAATTGAACCTCCCCATTTGTGATTTTTGGAAGGTTTTTGCAGCCTTTATGTCCATGTCGAGTCTAATTTGCTTTACCTCTCTTATGCAGGGTTTATCCCGTACAAACTATTACATCCATGTAATACTCTCTTATTTTTAAAAATAATCTCTACTACCATATTATAATATTTGCAATTCATTACTATTTATTCCACATCCATATAAATTTTTCCCACTTTCTAATAATAATAATAATAATAAAAAGCACAATTGGCCCCAAAGTGCATTTGCAAGCTTACAAACTAAATTTCATATTTTGCAAACTTACAAAAGGAAAAGAAGAAGAAGAAAAATAAAAGAAAATTTATTTTCATAAGAGGCAATTGCCACCTAAATTTGCAATTCTCACCATCGGGCGTGGATAGCTTAATATTATTGTTTAGTTATTAAGTTAGGTATATCTAATAAAATTCCTATGGAAGTGTTGAAACATAATCAGTACTATACAATATAGGTTTGATTAAATTAATTTATTACGATTACGTACATAACCATTTTTGAAAAAATTTGGTGTTACAACCATCTCATATCAAAGGAAGTGGTGCAGCTGCCGGCTAAACATATAGATTATATTCTTCCGTCCTATTTTATGTATATGATTCGGTTAACGAGACTTGATTGGAATTATTTTCAATTCAATTTTTCATAGTATTAAGTTTAGTATTAGTATATAAAATGTATACATTTAGAAACTACATTTAAAATACTATTAAACACAAAAAATCAAATTTGAAAACAATAAAAAAAAAATACTTAAGAAATTAGTAAAGAAGAATTAGTTGGTTTGACTAATTAGTTTATTAGAGAGTGATGATTTTTAATGGATCGAGCCCACCATAAAACTGAGTTTATATTGGTAATGAGTACGAAAAGTGTAATGAATTAATAGGACACAACCATTAAAATAATACAAATGGGCTGCAAATGTACTAAATAAACAAAGAGGATAAATTTAGACCAAGGGATCCTATAACAGCGGGTGGACTACCACTACTAATTAGCATATTGCAAAGACAACTAACGTACTGTGTCGTTAACTGAGGGAGAAGTCAAGAGCGAAGAAGAACTGATGATGATGGTCTGAACAAGGCACCCTTGCCTTTTATACTACTCTCAGAGTTGCATGTCATGGACAGGTGCGCCGACCACAATATAATGTTTTGTCTTCCTCTGCCATACGCGTGTCCCACTAGGTGTACTTATCGTGCTTTCTTGAAAAAGAATTCCTCTCACGCTACGTCACAAAGCACTTTAATTTTGAGGTCCCTGACAACCTGAACACTGCACACATAGCCCCACCCTGCCACCTCACCGTAGAGCTCGACTGAGCAGTTCACTCGAGTAGTATGTCCAAGCGGTACGCCCCCTCCAACAAATAGCCTTCCACTCACCCGGGTGATCTGTCATAGCCGCCAAACTAAGTTGCGACCCTCTAGTCACCAACAGACGACCAAGGTGAGCCAACGAGGGGCGAAAATGCGCCATGGTTGTGGACCTAGGAGTGATCCGCTGATCACCCTCCAGCGGTCCACTCTAGTCCGCTCAGCCCCCATGGGATTTGCCACTCGTCAGCGGACTGAGATCAAACATTGAGGTCCCTCCTCCCCGCCGTTCGTTTTCCCAAATTTTGCTCCATACTGCGCTGCCAAACGCGCTCTTAGCTAATTTTCTAGAAACAACGGCCAACCTCCACTTTACTAATTGGAATCTTCTCGACCAAGTCCACCTCTCACTTTAATTATTTTTTGGGTTGTACCCCTGGGCCCATCAAAAGATATTCCTCTTATGAGGCTACATTATAATTAAATAACCTCTCATGTAGTTTTTCTTCGCCATGAATCTTTCTCCATTGCTCTGTAGTGCGCCAAACTCAATATCTCATGGATTCTCACGGATCTTCATCCGTGAGAGGGGTCGAGTTTTTCATAAGTATTACATTTTCCTTCATAAATATTACAATTTTTCTCATTATTAACTTTTCAACTCCTAATAATGTACATTGATTTTAAAATATTGCATTTTTAATTAAAAGTATCACATTTTTTCTGATAGGTATTATACTTTCTTTCATAAATAACAATCAATCAATTTATCCAGATTATTAATGCACTTTTTTCTCATAAGTAATTGTTTAACTCTTAAACATTATATTTTAATTTAAAAGTATTAAAATTTTTCTTATAAGTAATAAACAATTTATTCATAATTTGTATTACATTTTTCAGTATAAGTATTACATTTTCATCTTAGATTATATAATTTTTATATCTGTTTTCTATCTTTTTTTTAAAAAGAAAATAAGAATTATACGGAGTAATAATACTGTTTAAATGTAATTATTATTATTTAAAAAAAAAAAAACAATGATGTAGTCTCAGTAACTTTATTAATAGACAGTAAATTCATGTACTATCATGTAAAATATGCATGAAGTTTAATGTGAAAAATTACTTCAAGTTCCATTAAAGTTTATGCATGTAAAGATGTAAATATGTAATGCCGTTCTTCAACCTTACCTTGGAGCCTGCACAAAAAACACGGTGTCCTTTTCAATTTTAATTTTTTTTTTTTTTATAGAATAAAAAGCGAAGAATAAAAGTGTGGAGGAGAGAGAGAGAAAGTGTAGTTGTCACTCTGTTGTCAACTTGTTACTTGCCATCAGTGTTGCCATATTTTGTTGGAGAGTATAGATAAGAATCAGGCAATTCACAAAACCCAAAGAAAAATTAAAGAAATCTGAAAAGTGAAGAAGCTAAGGTTGAGAGCACAAAAATGGCTTCTCGCAGACTTTCTACCTTGCTTTCTCGTTCACTCTCTTTTCCTTCTGCATCTGCTTTTCTGGGTATCTCTCTCTCTTTCTTTCTTTCTGTATATATATATATGAATATTCTAGCATATATTGTGTCTTGGACATTTGAAATCTTGATTATGGCTTTCCTTTTTCTTTTCTTTTTTTTTTTTTAAAATATATTTCTTGGTTGCAAGCTAATAAGTTAATTGAGGTGTGCATGTGATGAGCTTTCATGGCATATTTTCACAGAATTATATAATTATAAAATTATAAATAATCTTATTTTTGGTGTGTGGGAAATTTAATTTCATTAAAAAAGTAATATTAGGGAAGAAATTTGCATTTTATTTTATTTTTGAGAATCTCTTACTGGAAATCTGGAAGCCTTATATTATAGCTGCAATCCTGAAGAAAAATAGTGATTTCCAAATGAGGGTTCTCTGCTTTCTTTTGATATGTCCCCTTTCTGTCATGCATGAAAAGTTCTTGGAGGGGACATGATTCTATTATGTTTGACCTGATGAGATACAAATCTTGCAAAAAGATATACATTCAAAAAAAAAAAAAAAAAAAAAAAGTACTGTTAAAAAAATACAATACAGAACCTGCCTAAAAGGTTTGTTTAGGTCGACTCTTTGTGCATAGAGTTTACATGCACTCAAGCAGGGTGGAAATTAAGGACTGTTTGGGCAAGGGTTTTGACGTTCTGGGGTTTAAGATTAGTTTAGTCTAAGCCGAGAAACTTAATGTATCAGTGTTTGTGGATCGGAATTTTATTGTATTTTTTTTTTTTTTATCAGGGTGGAAGTATGGTGTAGAAAGTGGCATACAAAGGTTCAGCACTGCAGCCGCAGTTGAGGAGTTAGTTTCTCCGGCTGTGGAAGTTAAATACACCCAACATATAATCAATGGCAAATTTGTAGATTCAGCTTCTGGTAACACTTAAGACCATGGTTCTATAATTACTCCGTTTAGTTCAGGACAAAAGTGTTCATTTTCCTGTTTTGGTGACTAGGAAAAACATTCCCAACCTTGGATCCGAGAACTGAAGATGTCATTGCACATGTAGCAGAGGGTGAAGCGGAAGATATAAACCGCGCTGTAGCAGCTGCCCGCAAGGCTTTCGATGAGGGACCTTGGCCCAAAATGAGTGCATATGTGCGTTTATTACTACGCCAAAAGTTATAACCAGTAGTCAACATTCCCCCTAACCACCAATTGTACTGGCCTTTGCCCAACAATTCCTCCTTCCAGCACCTGCCAGTCTTAATGCATACCACTTGTTAGAATCAAATGCTTAAGGCGTAACTTTATTTCCTTATGACTGCTATCACATTTTGCCATTATCGAGAGGCAGGATGCTGGACTTGACCCTTCACTGGTCTTTACCCAACAATTCTTCTAGCCACCAATTAGTAACTTGGCTCTTTATCGGCCTCTGCCCAACGGTTCTAACCGGGATTTGTTTAAATTGGCAATGTTTTTTTAGGAGAGATCGCGGATAATGTTGAAGTTTGCTGATTTGGTCGAGAAACACATGGATGAACTTGCAACATTGGAGACGTGGGACAATGGGAAGCCATACGAGCAGGCTGCTAAATCAGAGTTGCCCATGATTGTACGCCTATTTCACTACTATGCAGGTGAGAATAAAACTTATGGGGGCATATATGTTTGAGTTTGTGGCAGTAACAAAAGTATTGATTTTGACATGTTTCCTAAAGGGTGTGTGTTGTTGAAATAACATAGGATGGGCGGATAAAATCCATGGTTTAACAGTTCCAGCTGACGGACCACACCATGTCCAAACCTTGCATGAACCAATAGGAGTTGCTGGCCAAATTATCCCATGGAACTTCCCTCTTGCCATGTTTGCTTGGAAAGTCGGGCCTGCGTTAGCTTGTGGGAATACCGTTGTCCTAAAGACTGCAGAGCAAACACCATTAACCGCACTTTATGCTGGGAAACTATTCCATGAGGTTAGTTCAATTGAAGCATGTGTTTTATCACAACACGTCGCTTCATGTGTGTGAGCCGATTACTTTTGACGAGCTCCAAACAGCTCCATTTTCAACTAAAAGTTTAAGCTGATAGTTGAATTGCACATTTCTTACTTTTTTGACAGGCTGGTCTTCCTCCCGGTGTCCTAAACATTGTGTCTGGATATGGTCCAACTGCTGGTGCTGCTCTTGCTAGCCATATGGAAGTGGACAAGGTAATTGGAACTTTTCATGTTAAAGAATCTCTCAGTTTTTGCTATCTTATCTACCAAAAATGAAAATTTTTACCTTATTTAGGCATCTTATCCCGCACTTACCACTGTACCAAAAGATAGCTAGTAGCTAAGGCACAATTGCACAGTTTATTCTTGTTGGTTTTAACTGTACAGTTTACTCTTCCCGGCATTAACTGCACAATGTACCTGATTCTGTTACTCTTGCAGCTTGCTTTCACTGGATCAACTGATACTGGCAAAATCGTACTGGAACTGGCTGCAAAAAGCAATCTGAAGCCAGTTACACTAGAGCTCGGAGGGAAATCGCCTTTCATTATATGCGATGATGCTAATATTGATAGAGCCGTGGAGGATGCACACTTTGCACTGTTCTTCAATCAGGTTTGTCTAATAACACTGTTAGAAATTATGGAATTTCCAACCACCTGAAAGTGATTTTAAATTAAGTCGAAAGTCTTGTTCCGACCACTTTTGGTATCCGGAAAAACCTTTGTTGCTATTTTCAACCACATTTTACTTTCAACTTGATTTAAGATCACTTCAGGTGGTCGAAAATTTTATAATTTCCAACCGTGTAATTCTTTTAAAACAAATGCATACAAACAGCTGACCACATGAATCTCAACACATTTACACCCCTGCAGGGCCAATGTTGCTGTGCTGGTTCTCGTACATATGTTCATGAACGCATATACGACGAGTTTGTAGAGAAAGCAAAGGCGCGGGCAATGAGACGCGTTGTGGGTGATCCCTTCAAAAAAGGTGTAGAGCAAGGGCCTCAGGTAATTGTGACGATGTAAATTGAAGCATGTGTTTCGTCTCAACTAAAAGACTAAGCTTATAATTTTTCTTCTGCAATGGCTATCTATTACAGATTGACTCGGAGCAATTTGAGAAGGTTCTTAGGTACATTAGATCAGGTAAGGAGAGCGGTGCCACCCTTGAATGTGGAGGCGACAGAATCGGATCAAAAGGTTATTTCATTCAGCCCACCATTTTCTCTGATGTCAAGGTATGCCCATGTTCACTCATTCAATGGTCTGAATACAAGATGATTATATATAGTATTAGGAAAGTAACACAAAAGCTTCACATTTTGTTTTACCAGGAGGATATGGTGATAGCACAGGACGAGATCTTTGGCCCTGTGCAATGTGTCCTAAAATTCAAGTGAGTTGCCTTTCTTTTGACTTTAGAAGCTAAGAAGGAAGAGACTTGTTAGGCAGAGGCCTATGAAGGGCTAAGTTTAGCAACAAGCTGCTAGGAAATTGTTGGGCGGAGGTCTGTGAAAGGCCAAGTCCAGCAACAGGTGGCTAGGAGATTGTTAGGCTCAGGAGGCCTAAAAGGCCAAGTTCAACACCCTACCTCTCGAAAATGTAACGTGGGTTTATGGCATGGGTGCAGGGACATTGATGAAGTAATAAAGAGGGCGAACAACACGCATTATGGGCTTGCGGCCGGAGTTTACACGAGCGACATTGATAAGGCAAACACTCTAGCTCGGGGATTGAGAGCTGGGACTGTGTGGATCAACTGCTATGATGTGTTTGATGCGACGATTCCTTTTGGTGGGTACAAGATGAGTGGCATTGGGAGGGAGAAGGGTGTGTATAGCCTTAACAACTACTTACAGGTGAAGGCTGTTGTTACTCCCCTCAAGAACCCAGCCTGGATTTAATTCACCTACTACCCAATCCACCATCGGCTTATGCACTTTGTTTGCATAATTTAATTTGGACATATATGAACTTTTTTGGAGTACTACTGTCAAACCTGTGACCTCCCATTTGGGAGAGTCAAGTTATGTCGTTTAACCACAAGATCTTTGCTCTATTGTCATTCTGTAGCTAATCATATATTTATCATCATACCCGCTCATTGTTTTAGAGAAAATAAAATAAAATACCAATTTGACTTTGTAGGGATGGCGCAATTGGTTGAACATTTTTCGCTACTTGACTTTTTTGAACCTTAATATCACGGATTTGGATTGTGTATGTCTAATTGGGTTAGGTAGATATATAAAAGAATACTATACCCGTCACAAATTTGGGTAGAGTGTTCTGGTAATAATGGATCGGAGTAAATATATCTGGTACTTAATCTAATCCTATTATTTTAAGTGGAGAAAAGAGAAAGAACGAATGATTTTTGAAGATAGGTCTAAAACTATGATAAAATGCTTAAAACTACTACAAGGGTCGTGACCATGGGCTTCACCACAATCATGGTGGATTCCGGGAGCAAAACACAGGTGGGAAATGCATGGCTATAGCCATGATTCTAGTCTGTGCATTATGTTTGACTTTTAGGTTATTTTTTACTTAGTCTAAGTCATAATTAGTCTTTGTGGTCTTCATAAAAGTTGTAGTCGATCTTTTGAATTAATGTCTTTTCAATATTATTAGAATCAATAAATATTAACATTCCTACACTGAGATATAGCCAAAATAGAATAATCACCTAACGGAGCTTTGTTGAAAATTTATATAGTAATAGATACTTAAAGCTTCAGTTATGGCTACCAAGAATTTAAATAATCTTTTGGTGTTGTTGAGTAAAATAGTATTTTAAGTTAGTAGGAATTTTTATTACTTGTTAATCAAAAATGTTGGTTATCTGACTATTTGTTGAGAAGAATTAATCTTCTATGTTATGATTCATAATTCAGAAGATAAATTCTTCTGAGATTGATTGAGTTTTAATATTTGATGTTCCTAGGGAAGTGTACATAAATTTTGAGGAATCACCAAATCTCCCCAAACTATAGATCTTGGGTTTGGGGAATCGGAAAATCTTTTCAAATGGGACGGTAGATTTGGGACCTCGGAAGATCTTCCCAAACTGCAAACCTTAGAGTATCAGTAGATATTCTTAGAAGATCTTCGAAATTAGAATAAAACTATGGCCAAGGACCAATAAATCAATAGATTCTTTTATGTAGATGAAGGTCTATTGATAAAATCGTGCATATTATATTTATTAATATAATAAATTCTTGATTAGTTTTGTATATATGTGAATAATTTAAATTATTGTCTTCTTTATGGGAAGTTGGTAATCGAAATTTTTAAACTTCCCCTATTTAATCACCCTGAAATTTCCACACTGACAACAGTGGGTGTGGTCCTAGTTGTGGTAGTTGGTTCTTACTGCAAACTCCACTTTTCTCCATTTTCTTTGCTATTTTGGGTCTCAAGTCATGCGATGCTTCAAAGTGATTTTTTTTTTTTACTTTGTTAACCTCTCATGACTCATGAAACACATTTATATATCTAAATAACTTCAGAATTCATCCACTAAATAAAGTCAAATTTACACCTTTTAATTTTTATTTTTTTTTGGAAAAATCTTCAAAATTTAGGGATGTGTTTATTATTTTTTTTTAAATGATCTTTTTTGTTTTAATGTTTCGCATTTACTGAAAAAAAATTCTGAATCCGTTCCTACTTCTTCGTCCCCTCAATCGAATTTCTGGTTCCGTCCCTGAGTGCCTCCAAACCACCTAAACATGGTTAATGACTCAATAAGCAGCAAAATGGGTCAAAATATAAATAACAAGCAATTAAACAAAAAAAAAAATGCAAGGAATCGAAACATATCAGCAAATATGACATTTATCAAAAACTTCTATTCAAATGAACTCTACGAGTACATTCATTTTGTTTGGGTATAGAAGTTCGATCACACTTACAGTTTGGCATAATTTTGATGTGACTGGGTTAGTTGGGTTAGCTCAACTAATCTCATGAACATACCATGGACAGTGTAGAGCTGACTGTCCATGACTATTAACCCACAAAAAAATTGAAATGACAATAAAAATAATACTTTTTTTATGAAAGGCTCTAACAGCGTCAGCATATCAGTTTACATCCTCAATTATCTAAGTTAACAAATAATTTAAGAAAAAAATCTACAACCTTTGTAAATGTTACCAAAATAGAGAACATACATACAATAAATAAATTAAATAACTCTTTCAACTATAACTGCAATAATAACTATTTATCATTTTTTATTTATTTATACCATATTAGATGTTTGAAAGTAAATAAAAGATTAGGTTAAAACATATTTAGCGTATATGAGAATTGTTTTATATGTTTTATTTTTTAAGTTAACAAACACCCAATACACAAATCACATTTAAAAAATACACACAAATTAAAAACTTATCATTTTACATAACCTCTTAAGTAAGTTAATGAATAATTAATAAATAAATCATACATAATTAATAAATATTTAAATGAGAATGAAAATACCAATGCCAAACTAAACTTTTGGCTTAAAAGAGAGAGAGAGGATATTTAATTGTATAATCTTTACTGTTAAAACAATTCATAGGCATTCACTTTTACTTTCGCTTCCAAAATTATGAATGGCCAGTGTATGATATTATAATGTGTAATGTGAATTGTACAAAACTCACGCACATTAAATTTCACCTACTGTATTTGAACCTAATTTTATATATATATATATATATATATATATATATATATATATATATATATGGAAGGGATCAAGTGCATTTGAGAATTCTCGTGCGGTTGTGCGGGTGGACGCACATTAAGCATTAATATGACGTACTTAAAGTACACAACACACGCACATTAAGCACACAAACAAAAAACCTTCAGAACACAACCTCATGCATGTTAAGCACAAGCCTCACGCATGTTAAGCACAAAAACACACGCACCTTAAGTTTTAAAAACAACTCACATTAAGTACACACTCACGCACATTAAGTACAAAACTCACGCACCTTAAGCACACGACTCACGCACATTAAGCATAAAACTCATGTACTTTAAGTTTCAACAACAACTCACATTAAGTACACACTCACGCACATTAAGCACAAAACTCACGCACATTACGTACAAGACTCACGTACATTAAGTACAAAACTCACGCAGATTAAACATTACACACTCACGCACATTAAGCACAAATCTCACACACATTAAGCACAAGACTCAAGCACATTAAGTACAAAACTAGCGCTAATTAATCACCCGCACAACCGCACGAGAAACACTTAAATGCACCTGAAACTGAACATATATATATATATATATATATATATATATATATATATATATATATATATATATATATATATATATATATATATATATATATTGCATTCAAATACAAACCCCCTTAAAATACAAACTCCCCTTAAAATACAAACTTGAACTCGTGCACACATTAACATACTTACATGCACACAGCGCGTAGGAGGAAAAATCACAACCATCCATCAAAGCTCGTGCACACATTAATATACTTACATGCACACAGCGCGTAGGAAGAAAAAATCAAGACCATCCAATACCACCATCCAACGGCATCAAATTGTCCACATGTTTGTATTTTAAGATGTGTTTTTACCTGAATGTAAATCTATATATATATATATATATTTATTTATTTATTTATTTATTTATTTATTTATTTATTTATTTGTGTGTGCACGCGTGTTCTTGATTTTTTAAGTTAGATTTTGTTATTTAGTGAATGGATAATTTACCAATCCATGCTAAACAAAATGTAAAAGGACAAAAAGCATATTTTATTGCGATGAAAAGACCATTGCCGCAATAAAAAGACAAGCAACGCATGTAGCATGAAAATGCTTTCTATATATTGCTTGCGGCGTACGTGTCATTTATGGGTCGTTTAGTTAGAGATGACAATATGATCTAAGGTAACGTTTAGTTGGGATTTTTGCATTTTATTATAGGTTTTGATATTTATTATTATGTTTGTTTGTCTATTTTTATTATCTTACTATTGAATTTAAATTTTTTAACAATTACAAAATTAATTACATTTTTACAATTCTACTTTTAAAGAATAGAATAAAAAATAAGAGAAAAAATAAAAATAAATAAAAAGATCATTGTCTATGCATTAAATATGAAATTTTAATATATATATATATATATATATATATATATATATATATATATATATATATTTATTTATTTATTTATTTATTTATTTATTTATTTATTTATTTATTTATTTTTATTTTAATTAATTAATTATTTATTTATTTATTTTGATTCAAATACCTATTTGCTACCCAACAGAGCGATTTATTCTATTTAAATTCATTGTTATTATCGGTCAATATTTGATTCTCATCATTACCTGATTCCAATTGTTTAACCAAACGCACCACTGACGTGGGCCCAATTCACATTGATCCGTCTAAACATGGTTGGCAAATTATGCTCTGGACCCGTGTCCACATTGAATTGTGGACACGGGCCCAAAACGACGTCGTTTTTTAAAAAAAAAACGTCATTTAGTTAAAAAAAAAAAAATTCGCGCGTGTTTTGCCGTTAACGGCGTTAACGGCGTTATTTTTTTTTTTTGATTATGAATGTACAGTTATGCCGTTATGAATGTACAGTTATGCGGTTATGAATGTACAGTTATGCAATTATGAAATTATGAACACAGAGCTCTAACATTATGAACTTACAATTATGAACATATATAGTGATAAAATTATGACCATGGAGCTTTAAAATTGTGAATATAGAGCTTCGAAGATTATGAATGTACAGTTATAGAGTTATGAATCTACAGTTATGGAGTTATGAATCTACAGTTATGAGATTATGAATCTACAGTTATGGAATTATGAATGTACAGTTATTGATCGAATTATGAACAAAGAGCTCTAACATTATGAACTTACAATTATGAACATATAGTGATAAAATTATGAACATAGAGCTCTAAAATTGTGAACATAGAGCTTCGAAAATTATGAATGTACAATTATGGAGTTATGAATGTACAGT